ATGTTTGTATTTTTTTGTTGTTGATATTTCACTTCTTAATTTTTAAGATTATTTCCTACTTTTCATTTTACTATTCAACTAATTGTTTTCTGAACCATTTTCTCCATGGTTGCTCTCCTTTCATTGTACTGATATAAACCTTGATCATTTTCATTGATGCATATTTATGCCTAGCTCTACGTTTTTCGGTACTGATTAATATCTCATGGAAAGAAAACAGTTTAATACTGAAGTCATTCATGTGGCTGTTTTATAAATAGAGCTCGATTTCACTTATCAGATAATTGGTAGAGAGATTTAAACCTAATCTTACTGTCTATTGTCATTGGCCGTCACAAATAGTACTAACTGATAAATCAATGATATTGAGAATTATCGCTTGTAATAATTTATCTGTAAACAAAATGATTTATATAGATATTAACTATTGATTTATTATTATGGAATCCAATCACATAAACAAGACCGATTATGCTTCATGGGCATCGATAATTTTCAAACTGACGCTATTTGGGGATTTATATCAATTATAAATACCTTAATCCCATAGAAGGTCAGTCGCGACCAGATTAGCTCAATAGTAACCCATCACACTGCGAAGCTGGGTAGTGCATTTTCGGATGTCATTTTGAGCTTCAGTTTCTTTGAGAATGCAAGTATAGCTTGCTAACGAGTGTGATCTACGACGAAATTTGGATCAAATATGGTTCCCTGTCGTCTACATTCAAAAGTACACTCGAGGTCGAGTCACTTGGGCTAGCGGTCACGTAACAACTTGGTCAGTAGAATTCGATCAATAATAAAGAATTAAGCAAACATGAAATCGGTTACTATACTCAGTGATCGATTGTTTGTATAGCACTTGTCAGTCATAAAATTTTCCATCTGCTTGCAGATTACCCAGTTGTACTATTGAACATAGCAATAATTTGATCATCATTGAATAAAGTTATTACATGTTACTCTGAATTATGTATGGAATTTTAGAGAATGATAGTGAATCAGTTGATAAGGTTGTAAATCTTCATTTAGCATGCCCAACCACCGTTTACCATGGCACGAAATGTTGACTAGTGTTTGGAGACTGATAGAAGAAAGTTAGAGGCGTCCAAACCAAAACATGGCATCGCTCCTTGAAGTCGCTAACTTCTAATCTGAGCTATGATGGTAGATAAAGACTACTTGATCGGGGTCCGCGTGACTATCGTAACCAATGGTTGGAGACTCTTGGTGACATGGCTCAGAATCGATCACAATAGCGTCAGTGTATACACTCTCTATCTTTCCTTAAACTATGAGATTAAAATCGCTTCATATCTTTCTTTCTACGAACTAATTCATTCTCCCTGTATCATATCGTTATATGCGATCTTTTTTGACATGTTACCACCATTGAATTAACTACTATGAATCCGGTGTTCATGTTGTTGTGCTAATAAGGTATGGCAACTTGGACCAATGCATATATGTGCCTGATCCTACGTTGTAGATGACTAACTGATTCTATAATATATTCAATTATCAAGACCATTGTTAATTTTCACAAATTTCCATTTATACTTACTCTCATCTTTCGTTTGTTTTTTTTCTTTCTGTCTACATTTTTGCAAAATTGGTAATACATTTTGTAAATCTGCAAAAGAAGAGAAAAAAAAAACAGAAAGCAAAGATTCATTGCCAATGTATTTATTCATATGATATACTAATTATAGACTATAACTATGTGCCAATTAATAAAATTATTATTAGACTATTAACTAGTCAACATTATTAGTAGTCTGTTTAGTTTAATGGTAGTAAAAAAGGTGGATTAATTTTAATATTTCAGTTTTAATACTTGTTATCAATATAGGATTATAGAGATTACCATGCGCTCATTAGTGATTAGCTTCGTGAAGGAATTCTTGGAGTTTTAGTGAGAAGCTGTGACCAATGGAGCTAATCCATGTCGGGTAGAGACAGGTATTTACCTTATTATAATAGAAGATGGTCATCCAATACTTCCAGGTTTTCAATGGTTGTCTAATATCAATTGGTTGAAGATCTCAATCAATAATTTAATAATTTCAATGGTTAAGATCATGAGTCAGTTGTGAAGCTAGACCACCATGGAAAACCTGGAAGCATTGGACGGCCGTTTCGTCCTATTGTGGGACAATTGAAGCTTCAAATGTCTCATGATCTTAATGATTGGAATTACTACAATCTCCACTAAACCCCTTCTGATAATAATCAAAATATGCTCACTAGTGACTGACTTCAAGTGGTATATCCTGGAGTTCTAGTGAGAAGTAGTGACCAGTGGAGTTCAACCAGGTCTGTTGTGAGATATTAACTCACTGAAGAAAATGGTGGATGTGTCGCTCAATTTCGTGAATTAGTTGAAGTTACACATTAACACCATTAGATGTCGGCCGGCTCAGTGATGTAGTGGTTAAGTGCTCGCGCGCGAAACCGGTAGGTCCTGGGTTGGAATCTCGCAGGGAGCGAGGTCGTGGATGGGCACTGCTGAGGAGTCTCACAATACGACGAAACAACCATCCAATGCTTTCAGGTTTTCCATGGTGGTCTAGCTTCAATTGACTCATGATCTTAACCATTGAAATTACTATAATATCCACAAAACCCATCTGATAATAATTTAATACTTGTATTTTTTTCAAGTATAGTATTAAACTACATGATATTCTACACACATAAGGTAGAGAATTAAGTGCTTACTCTTTCCAATTCTATTTATTCCAATGATGTTTATAACATTGTAGATGAATTGATTAACTCTCTTTCTTAAGATAATGATAATCTTTCTATGTCTCTTACTTTTTTCCTTCTTGTTTGTTATTTGTCTTTTTATATTGTTCCTGTTTATTTTGAGTAAATTATATGTTCATGTGATAATGACAGTTTTGCTTAAGTGCGAAGTCGTTTCTATATTGTTGGATTTCAACTGTTTCAACACTCTATCAACTAATTATCTTATATATATTGATGTATTTCCTTCGTATTCATTAGAAAATTAGTGCTGATAAGTATTATGAAGCTTTAAGTTATTACTATATTGTGTCCTATTTTCACGTTATCACGTGTTATCACATATACAATTTGTTCATTATTATTTGCAAAAGAATATTCTGTAATTTAGACCACATTTATACTTATATACAGCTGTTACTCCTTGTAGGATCACAAGCAGCCTATCAGGATTCTCCAACCAGCTCTGTTTTGGGCTCTCCTTCTAGTCGTTTTGAATTGCTATTCATTCTCTTGATTCATGCCTTCAATACTCGGCGTAATGTGTTCTCAGGTCTTTCTCTTTCATTTTAGCCTTCAGGTTTTCTTCGTCATGCAGTTGGATGATTTCCATGATGTATGTCCTATCCACTTCCAGCGTTTTTTCCTAATTTTCTTTTCAGATGAAACCTCTTGTGATGTGTTTGTTGCTCTCTGTATTGTGTTTGAGGATTTTACTTTTACTCTTGTTTATGTTGAGACTGCTGTTACACTAGTTGTCTTCATCTGTATTTGTTGCTGTGTATGAGCTGGAAGAGCCTAGTCGTCTGCGAAGTCCAAATCGTCTCGCTACATGTAAGCTGTCCATTGTATTCCGTGCTTCCCGTCAGATGTGTAGGTCTTCGTAATCCAGTCGATCACCATAAGAAAGGTGAAGGGGAAGAGTAAGCAGCCTTATCTGACTCCGGTTCTCATTTAGAATGCATCTGTTTACTGTCCTCCTTGCAAGACTTTGCCATGTAATCCGTCGTATGAATTACATATGATGTTGACGATCTTCCCAGGTACACCATAACGCCGAATAAGGTTCTATTATCTGTTCTGTCATATACTTTCTCATAATCAAGAAACTTGATGTATGATGACGATTTCCATTCAATTTATTGTTCATTGGTGATCCGTAGTGTTGTGATTTAATCTGTTCACTATCAATCCTTACGAAATCTAGCTTGTTTTTCTCGAAGTCTCAAATGCATACAAATTATGCAATAAAATAGTAGTATCATATATAATTAGAACACAAAATCAATATTTATGTCTGTAGAAAAATTTCAGACAATTTTTATTTGACGTATCTTCCATTGTTTAACAGTATTTTTTTTACGTTTATTCATGTTTTAGCGTGTAATTTTTATGGCATGAGTTGAATTAGACGTTTGAAAATGACTTGACCGTGGTTCAGTTTTATAAAATCTACCAAAATATTTGAACTAAGTGGTCGTAGCATCAGAATTCCTCATTCATACTAATGTAGGATCATCGGTCGCAAGCAGTGCAAATAGATGTTTCAGTCCAAGTTACTACACGGCATCAGCATATCAAGGTGAATATCTAAGTTTTAGAGGTGGTACTAATAGAAGTATGAGTTGCGACAGATTCTGATTCATGTCACCCTTACATCTCGAAGCATCAGCCATGATAATCTCTTAAACCGTAATAAAGTAGTTTTTATCTGCCAGCATGAGTAATTACAAGATTTAGCGAATTGATTGACTGATGACACGTTTTGGTTCTCTCAATCCCATCTTTCTTCTAACCTTATTTCTTCACTAGTCAATATTGCAGTTTGAAGTTGATGGTGATTTGGAATACGTATTACATGTCCAAATCACTTCATTCGATGATGATTTACGTAGTACCCTGCATTAAACCTTAACATTCATTAATCTAACTGTAGATGACCAATAGAGTGCTTGCTGCTAATGCTTATATTTTAGTCTAATAAATCCCAATGGTCTATCGATCAATGTAAAGTTGAATTGTGTTACTGTGTTAAGAGTAATTCATACTGGAGCTTTTATTTATAACTATAAAGAAGTCTAAGTTTTAAGTTTCTTAGGGATTGACTCAAACCTGTACAAACAATATCAAGTCATTTGAACTAGTGACCACATCGATAATTGGTCATTGGAATTCATTCAACACTAAGAATTAGTCACAACTATTATATTAACAATGCAGATTCATGTTTTCTACAATTTTTATTTTAGTGCAATGACTGTATGGGGTGAAGAGAATGAAACAAATGCATATTCAAATTTACTCAATTTATATCCTGATGGAACATTCGCCTGTGTCTCCGATAGTTATGATATATGGAATGCATGCAGTAATATATGGGGTGAAGCATTACGTGATAAGGTAGGTTGGTAATAAATACATAATTACTATAAATAATTTGTTTTGTTATTTTTTCTTGTCAAAAAAACACGTTTGCATTATTACGTGTGTGTATGAATTGGCCGATATCATGTAGTAGGGTTCAAACATGCAACCTATTGATTGATTACCTAATGATAAATCGTATACACTTGTCAATTTAACAACTCTTAGATTCATACCAAACATTTTCTTTGATTCCTTTAAAGTGTTATTTTCAATTATAGAGAAGAGTAGTATAAGTTAACTATTCCGGTTGATGCTTTCAAATCTCATTCTATAGAGCAGTTGTATCCAATTATGTGTATGCACTGTAATATTAGCGTACTTGTTGAAAGATATATTGATACTAAAAGTTTCATGTCTTAATCTATATATTTATGCTTTGTAGCCCTATACTAAATGTAATAGTTGTACTGCATTATTTTCATTTGGGGTCTTTCATAGGGGGTAATGAAACATTTTGATATTGTTGTTTTTTTATGTGCAGTTTATAGTCAAGCTACCAGTCCTCTTCTTGATTGAAATTTTCAACTGAATGGAATTGTTCACATTTTTGTATACTAAAATGATCAGCCATAAGGAATATAAGATCTAGGACAAATATTAAACAACTCAAGTTATTAAAGTCTGTATCAACATAATCTTAGGAAATTGATAGAATGATAAACAAATTAGTTCGGCTGATAATAATAATAGGTTAGAAAAGACATACAGAATATAGTTAGACAAAAACAAATAGAATTAGAGAATGGCAAAATATTAGGATCTAAAGATCCAAACCAATACGTGGCATCAGTGCTTGAAGTCACTAACTTCTGGGCTGAGCCATGTTGGAAGATTCAGACTGCCTGGTTGGGGTGCGCGTGACTATCGTAACCGATGGTTGGAGACTCTTGGTGAAATGGCTCAGAATCGATCACAATGGCGTCGGTGTATACACTCTCTGTCTTCCTTAAATTAAGAGATTAAAATCACTTCAAATCTTTCTTTCTAGGAACTAATTATTTCTTCCTGTACTATCTCCTTATACACAATCTTTCTTCTACATATTACCACCACTGAATTAACTACTTTTATGAATCCGGTGTTCATGTTGTTGTGCTAATGAGGTATGACAACTTGTACCGATGCATATACGTGCCTGGTCCTACGGTGCAGCTGACTGACTGACTGAGGATCTAAAGAAACTCATCATTCGGCGAAAAATAAAGAATCTATTCACCTATCACCGATTTTGTGCCATGTCACAGTAAGCTTCTGATCACAGTTTACCAATATCTTAATCATTTCACTCAAGAAGTCAATAGCTCCTAAAACTAATGAAGATGGCAGTTACAGTAGTTTCATGGATTGATACCATTTCTTAGTTTCCTCCTACGTAACCTTTTGCGAATTATACATATTCTAATCAGCATATCATGTCGAGGTTGGGAATAGTTGTTCATGTGTAACAACAAATGTCATAACCATCTCAGTCAATACATGTTCACACACTCACTCTACAATAGAAAAGGTGATCTCTACTATTGTTGTCTTTATTAGATATGTACATGTATGTTGAAAGTAATGAAACTACCTTTTTATATTGAGATAATCTTCATTAAAATCTTAATTTCATAGTTATCATCACACTAGTTAAGGACACAAAATTATTCAACAGATAGAAATTTTCTTTCAAATCATTCTTTCTGTATACCTATACACGAAAATTAATTTATCTGCCATGTTACTACATTTGGTAATTTTAACCATTTATTTATTTAAACATGTCAACATTAGTACTAATAGGCACCAAATATATATGCACCACACAAAGTAGCTATCATTAAATTTGCGAATGGCCTGGGATACTGCTCGGGCACCCAAACCGAACAAGGAGGTTTTTCTTAGGAAACTATTCCCTAAGCCTATGAGCCAGATGCCTAATCCACATCACAATGAAGCAACGTTAGAACATACAGTCCCATGGTAGCCTGTGACCAACAATAGGTTCATACGCTATTTTCTCTTTCAGGACCATGAAGCCAATGTGAACCATTAGTTTGAAATTAGTGTTTTCCAACTCCCCTAAGTGGATCCTGTATATCCACCAACCCGGTTAAAGCACCAGACATTCACTTTTCGTCCTCTCACTCTCACAAACAACAACCCTCTCATTGGAAGGCAGTGAGTAGGACTTCGTTGGCAATGACTTTATACGCGTGGCTATATGAGGGCATGTTGAGAGGGAAAGTAGACACTCTTCACACTTGGTTGTACTAGTAGAACCTTACGTTTATTTCATCAAGAGTGCCATTATGGAATGTTAACTAGCTTACGAACTACTTATTTGACTGATCAAGTAAAATCTAATAACCATATAGTAAATGCTCAATTTGCAAAATGTCCATCAATTGTCTCGAATGACTCAGAATTCCTTTGTTCTTTCATTTTCATACAAATTGCATTCTGTCTTCATTCTTTATTGTTCGATCTTCTTACCTCTCTGCCGCCAGACATTCTGTTCACGACTCACATCATATACTACTTATGTCTACATAAGTAGCACACACCACACTACGAACTCTGATCGGTTCTAAAGATTTCATAATATGAATTATCTATCTATAATATGTATCGAATATCTGTTACCTGTTAACCTGTTATCTATAAGGTTTATATACACATATATTTCAATGTTTATTATTATTATTATCATGTTCATTCTATAATGTATACCATTACAAGTTTGCAGAAACCTCATGATTTTGACAAGTTATTATTTACATCATAACTACCATATAGCGTTTTTTATGTCAATTATGTTCATGTATTGTTTGTTGTCATTTCTAAACGCTGTCATGATATTCACATTTTCTTTGTTTTGTGGATTTGATTATTAAATATGATTTGATAACAGTGTAATCTGTTAGTAGTATAATTATCAGTTACAGTAGTATTATGATGATGATGATGATTGTTTATTGAATATGTCTACATAATATTGTAAAGTATCGTCTAAATGTTAGTGTTCGAAATCTACTATTCTTCTCATCGATAGGCTTTTCAAACAAATAATAATAATAGTAATTTGTTTGAGAAAAAAAGGACAAGTATACTGCGCGGCAGTTCGTTCTGTTTTACTTTACGGCTGTGAAACATGGCCATTAAGAGTTGAAGATACTCGTAAGCTACCAGTATTTGGTCACAGATAATTTGAAAATATTGCTCGCATCTGCTGAGATCATCGGGTAAATAATAGTGGGGTTAGACTCAAGGTATTAGAGAATGATGGTAAATCAATTGATGAGGTTGTGAATCTTCATCGACTGAGGTGGTTAATCGGCGCGTTACGTATGCCTTAACACCGATTACCACGACGTGCAATGCTGACTAGTGTTGGAGACGGTTGGGAGAAGGTTATGATGGGCGGCCAAGCCAAAACGTGACATCAGTCGTTGAAGTCACTAACTTCTTGTCTTAGCCATGTTGGTAGATGCAGACTACTTGGTTGGGGTCCGCGTGACTATCGTAACCAATCATTGGAGACTTTGGGTGACATGGCTCAGAATCGATCACAGTGGCGTCGGTGCATACACTCTTTGTCTTTCCTTAAACTATGATAGTGAAATTACTTTATTCTCTTCTTCCTTCCTGTATTATGTCCTTATTCACAATCTCTTTTTATATATTACTACCATTGAAGTAATCACATCTATGGATTTGGTGTTCATGTTGTTGTGCTAATGAGGTGTGGCAACTTGGACCGATGCATGTATGTGTCTGGTCCTACGTTGTAGCTGACTGAATAATAATAATAATTATTACATTGCATGAAAGACTAACTTCAGATAAATGATCACTAAAAGCTTAGGTAGAATCAATATCTGTTTCGTTCTAGTCTTTCAACAATTTAATCCTGTGAAGTCACCTATGATCTCATCAGGAAGGCCCCCAAATGCCCTTGTACGGCCGAGAGTGGGGAGAGTCCGCTCTCCCTATCGAAATACTCTCACATGGCCACGCGTATATAGCCTCTTCCAGGGAAGTTTTACTCACTGCCTTCTCGTGGCGGGGGTGTTGTTCACGAAGATGAGAGGACGAAAAGCGAATGTCTGGCGCTTTAACCGGACCCCAAACCAATGGTGCACATGGGCTCCAGTATCCTGCGGGAACAAATGGCGTATGAACCAATCGTTGGTCACCGGCTGGCTACCATGGGACTGCATCTCCTCACGATGCTCCACTGCCTTGTGGGTCAGACGTTCAGGTCGAAGGGTCGGAGTGTGGCCCCCTAAGAAAACCACCTGCTTCGGTTTGGGCACCCGGTCAGTATCACAGCCCTCACACAAATCAATTGAGATTTGTGTGGCGCATATGTACTTAGTGCCGCTTGTACCTATACCTATGTGTTAAAATAAATAAATAAATAAATCATCAGGAATTGAACCTAGAACCTTGTGCTCCCCCTTGTAAAAGTATTGTTAAGTAAAAACCCATCGACGTGTATTTTCATACTGCCCTAATCGTCATTATCCAATACAATTCATCATTGTAATAATGGAAATTTTCTATTAACATTGATAGTTATTAATTAGTCTAACGATCATTGTCAGGATAACATATTTGTAAATGTTAATTACCCATTTTTACACTACAGATTAGTCCATTTCGCTTTGGCTTTCAAATTCTACTATACTTACAATTTCTTATCTATCTATATGTTTCTGTTTGATAGTATTAGGAACAAAGTGTTACTCATCTATCAGATAGCTAATGAAGTTGTTAAGAAAAGAGTATCAGGTAAGGATGACGAATCAATTGATGAAGTAGTAAAACTTGATCAGTTGAGATGGCTCGGACATGTGTTACGTAGGCTCGACCACCGACTGCCCCGACGTGTGATGTTTTGTGGTGTAGGAGTAGGTTGGAAGAAAGCTAGGGGCTGCCAGACCAAAACATGGCACAAATCCATGAAGTCACTGACAAATGGACTGAGT